TCCATTTCTGCTGGACCGCTCCACACAACAAGGTGGTTAGTGATCACAGCAGGCCAAAGTCATTTTCCTAAGTAGACGGAGGGAACCTAGTATCACAGCCTTCTGCATCCTGACTGCCAAGAACTCAGCTTTTGATGAGCAAGCTGGATGTTTGCACGGACATCTTCATTTACCGTGTCAAGCTGTTGTTGAGAGTAAGTTATCTTTTTAGATATACTTATTTGCCGTCCTATAAAGGGATTGTTGTCATCCAAGGAGGAACGGCGCCGTTCTTGGTGTAATGGCGCCGGAAAGGAAAGTCTATTAGGCTGCCTTCTATCCGGCACAAGCGATTTTCTATTACGCCGAAGATAAGCGGCGTAATTACGCAGGTGTTTAGGCGTAAATGCGCTAGCTCCGGATGCATTTCATTCCAAAGAGTGTGCATCCGGGCCATATAACCGCTCACCCTCGGCTCGCTATGTTGGTAGCACACCAAAAGGTCGACTCGTAGTTCCTCCGTCCACTTAAAATTAATCCTTAAAGCGCCAGGGTCGTCAACGTTCATCGGGTCCGGCGTGCTCCTCCCACCTGATGAATGGTCCTCATCCGAAAAGGACCGGTTGTGGGGAGCACTTCTGAGATTACGTCTTGTTGTAACTCAGCATTTCAATGCAGTGGGTAGTTGGCCCACTGCATCGGCTACGTCGTTCGCCTACAGACCTGGTGTTATGGTCTGCGTTTCCCGCGATGCGCCGCTTGGAGGCCACGTAGCAAGCACCGCTTATTATTATTATTATTATTATTATTATTATTATTATTATTATTATTATTATTATTATTATCGCGTATTTTTGGCTGAGTGCAATTTAGTTACTTGCTATCCTGTGCAATATGGTATAAGACTAGAAATAGACTGTTTTTGTTTCAGCATTCATTATTAATCTTAATTAATTAAATTTGTATTACTGCGATAAAATTGACGTTGAGAGACCTGTTAATATTAACATTAATATTATAATAATCTATTCTGTTTGTTTAATAATGGTTTTTGAACAATTTTGACTTTTACTTTGATATTATACTGATTTGTACTTAATTTTAAGATATCATGTATGCTTTGTGTATGCTTTTGGCCGTTAGAGGACTATGTCCTACGGCCTCTTTCAATAAATTACAATTACAATTACAATTATTATATCCGGGGCTTCGCCCCTGGACCCCAACAAAAATCGGACTCCTCCAGTAGAAATCAATTGTTGTGCGGATCAATCGTCTGCGAATCAAATGCCGTGGATCAATCGTCGCGGATGAATTGTCTGCGGATCAGCGGTCGCGTCACCGAACAATGATGTTGTTTCTTCAATTGCTTTCAAAATTTTTCAATCGGATCCTCTTAAGTTATCAACGACATTTTTATCATTATTATTAGGTGACATTATGTTATCAATATTTTAATTAGCCAGAGCGTCAATACTTTCGTGAATTCGACGTCACCTCACTTCTTGAAATGAAAAAAAAAAGGAAAATTTTTTAGATCTTAGTTCCTTCTCCATCTGAAATAACACAACGATATTTTGAAATTTGTAAATTGAATTACTCCGAGAGAAATCTAATTTTCATAAATTTTAACGAATTGTATTCTTAAATTGTTAGAAAGTAGAATATATAAAAATAATTTTGATAATTTAAGTTTCCCATATGTTTAATGACCAGAAATGAATAGAGCTGCGGTTTTAAATTATTAGATTAGAAATTTTTTCTAACAAAACACATGTAAATGTCAACAGATATGCAGATTGTCAGGCAAACACGCAAATTTTATTCAATAATCTTAACGTTATCAGCAATTTCAATAAAAATATAAGAAAACTATTCTATAAGATTCATAAAAATTCTAGGAACGAAATATACCAATTGATATCAATGCCGGAAAATTATTGGAATGGTTAATTAGCAGACGACACTGTGAACGAACTTGGCAAGACAATGTTTTAGTCGTCAGAACAAAAATTAATAATGCTATACAGGATATGCCAGAGCATGAAGGAATTGTTAAATTAGTAACTGGAACTTGTGAGTTGAATATATCTATTTGTTTGTTGAATTAATTATCATTATTGTGCACGTTGCAGATATTAATTATTTTCATTGCCAAAAAATCGTAAGTATTCTTGAAAAAACAGAAGCTAATTCGAAAAACTTATTTGGCCGTTATGGATCGCAACGCATGAAAGATTGGAAAGAAATTATTCGTCTATATGAAAAAGATAATTTATACCTAGCTGAAGCTGCGCAGATCTTAATAAGAAATATTAACTATGAAATTCCTAGCTTAAAGAAGCAAATTCATAAATTGGATCAGACCAAACGTGTGAGTTTTATTTATGTAATATTATAATTTCCAAGATAATTTTTTTTTCAAATTTTCTCTAAAAAAAACTTAAGTCATCAAAAAGTCAATGAGTTGTTTTTTACGATCTGATTTTCGGAAATCAAGTTTTCAATAGATGCTGAAAATTCGAGGTCTTAGAAAGGCTGCTCCTATACTTTCCAGAATAGTTTGTGATTTCTATTAAACGTACTTTAGGTACTGATATGGACTTTAATTTTGAAAATTAAATTTATGGGCTTTTATAATTGTTATAGGGTCATTCCATGTCAAATCGACCCGTAGTTAAAATCGGTCTCTTTCGATTTGGACAAATTTTGGTCAGAAGTTTTCTTTTGTCATATAACGAAGTTCTGCCAAAGAAAAAAAAAATAAAAAAATTTTTTTTTAAGGATATGCAAATTCAAAATTTCGCGATTTTTCCACTTTTTTAATTTTATTTTTGTAATATATCGGACGCTATTATAGGTACAGAAATGGCCTTTCGTTTGTTTGAAAGAGGATACTTGGGGATATTGAAAAAAAAAAAAAAATATTTTGGAAAAAAATTCTGAAAAATACTAAATTCAAAAAATTTTAAATTTTTGAAAATCGTCAAATATGACGATCGACATTTAAATTTTGGCTCAATTATTTTTGTATAATACCTTGTACTGATCTTAAATATTTGCTACCATCTTTTATACCTTATATTAGTTGTGTAACTTGGATTAATGTAAAAACTATTCGTTTTAATATTTTAATGTTTTTTTTTTTTTTTTTTTAGGACTTGGAAAAAAACATAGCCGAATACAAGAAATCTGAAATTATTGCGCAATCAGAATTTAATACACTGTGTAAAAATTTAGGTATAACGGGTCAAGATATCAAAAAAGAATTAGCTGAACGTATAGTTGTATTACCCAAGATTTACGACACAATCGTAAAAAAATGTCAAGCTCTTAGTAATGTTATAACATTTTATGAGGCTTTTGCCTCATTTACGCTTGGTGGAAAATCTGATAGGGGTTGTGTTCCAATAATTCAATACGTAATAGGTAAATTGTTTTGAATTTATTTGTGAGTTTATTAGTTTTAAAAATTACAATCAATTTTACTCCATATAGAAAAAGGTAATACGACTACTTATGAATGGATTTATGGTGAAGTCCCGGATTCAATAGTGGAACTATTATTAAAGGTAAATTTAGATAGAGATAATTATTTTACTAATACATAGTAATCAAAGTGCTATAAGATAGTCGAGATAAAGATTTTATTCAGTACTAGCTGTTACCCGCCCGCTCCGCTGGGCACTTTATAGAATTGTATTTTGAGATCTAGACTTGAAATTCAATTGGAGTATTGTTTTGACTTGCACAGATTCCAAATTCTATCGGATTGGCCTGTACCTTTCATCCATGTCATCAATCTAGCGAATAACCATTGTAACTTTCAATGTGCATCCTTATTGAAGGTGATTCGTTGTAAAATCCGTTCTTAGATCATTTCTATATCACAGATAGAAGATTCCTACTAAATTTGAAGTCTGTAGGAGCTATAGCTTGAAAATTAAAAATTTTCTTTGTCAATACCCACCCCCGCAACCCTCTGTGGGGTGTAATATCGTAAAGTTCGTTCATAGATTATTTCTACATCTCTTACAGAAGATCCCTACCAAATTTGGAGTCGATAGGAGCTATAGTTTAAAAATGGGAATTTTTCATTGTTAACGCCCCGCAACCCCCTTGTGGGTGGAATTTCGTTAAATCCGTTCTTAGCTGACCTCTACTCGGTAAAAAGAACATTCTTACCAAATTTCAAGTCTCTATTAGGGTGTGTCATTTTTTTAGGCGATATTTTTTTACTGCTATACCAGAAAATCTGGTAGTATATAAAAAATAAAAAATTATGCCGCTGGGTTAATGGCTTTAAGTCCAATAGCGGCTTAGCTCATCAAAAAATTGGATTTCCCATTTAAATAACACAGGAAAAATTTTTTTTTTGTTTCAAGTGGACTTTTCGTTATTAAAAACATTTTTTTTTCGAAAAACCTTCTTATGGCTTTTGTAGGAAATTAAATTCTCTACAAAAATATTTCTTTGGACGAAAACTGTAGAGCTATTATTTTCGAAGTTATAGCCCGTTAAACGGTAACATATAAAAAAATACACATTAAATTCCATTTAATTTTTAATTTATTACTCTTACATGAATAATTTAATTTTATTGTACATTTTTGAGCATTAAAATTTTTAATTAAAGTATTGACTCGTTTCAATATAATAATCTAAGTCAAATTATTATTAATTTATAGTTATAATTACAAAAAATTTCATTTTTTCATTTATCTAAAAATGATAAAATTAACGTCTGCTTGTTAGCATTTGGAAATTTTTTTGTGTGCATAGCTACAACTTGTAATAAGTACTGTTTCTGATCTTCATCAGCAGTTAAGCTTTTATTGTAGGCTTTCATCAATTGGACCGCCCGTTCCGCAGTATCATTAACAACGAGTAAATTTTTTAAAATTTTGAGACACGTATTGTAACTTTTGTCAGATATCCACTGATCAAGATGTAAATTTAAAAAATCAGTTGGGAGTTCCAACCTTTTAAAAATAATCATCGACTCTTCTGATGCAAAGTTATACAATTCTTTGTTATGTAAAAAATTAATATTAACATTTTTTACATTAAATCGTTTGAAGTTTTTAATTTGACGTTTTTTTTTCTGAATCGATTCAATTAATTTTAATTTGATTTCTGCGCTAACATTAGTATCAAATAATGACAAACAAATAAGTTGTTCAGATAAATACCACAAGTTATTTGTTGAATTTTTTCGATGCTACTTCTGAAATATTTGTATTTATTTTTTTATAATTCAGTAAATCATTCATAATTTCTAAATTCTGTCGAGGAGCTTGGATTGCTGAAGGCGCACAATACCATGCTTTTATGTATACTAATACGATGAAAATACAAATGTGGTGGAGTCCCGAAGCCTCTGTCCGGCTAAGTGAAAATAGTTCTTAACCCTTCAGTACTCACGTTTTTTTTAGTGTTTCACTAGCACTGCAGCGACATCCTATAAGTTGAATGCTGATGTGTGAGAAAAATTCTCATAGCGAGGGTACTGAACGGTTAAAACAGATAAATTTTTAAGGAATATATTGCTTTAAATATGCGCGAAAATATGATTTCAATCCATAAGTGTTATTATTTCACAATAGTAATGATTATTTAACAATAATTGGACTTAGATTATTATATTGAAACGAGTCAATACTTTAATTAAAAATTTTAATGCTCAAAAATTTTTACTGGTTAAGATTATTAAGAAACTACTTCAGAACTTTTTTGTAGAGAATTAAATTTTCTACAAGAATAATTGACGAAAAATAAAAAAAAAAATTATTTTCGTAGTTTTACCGGATGAAAACGTAAATAAAAATTTTTTACGTGTTATTTAAATGGGAATTTAAATAATTGAGATATCAAGATGCGCTTTAAAGGGAATTTGTTTTATACCTTAGAGAAGCTTTTAAGATGATAGATCTGCGTCAGATAGTAATTGCCCTCGCCATGACTCCGGTTTAGCCAAACGTCGATCTTCGGTATGAGACGATGTGTCCATCTTCCTCTTGTCGCGGCGTCCCACTACGATTGCCATCGTGCGATGCCGTTCTTCAGCTCTGAGTTCCTCGGCACTTAGTGTGGTTGACCTCTTTCGTTGGTAGAGGTTCCGTCTTTCCTCGGCTAGAACTCTGAGCGGCAAAATTCTGGAAATGACACACACTGCTAATTCTGATATCGTGCGAAATGCACTGGCTAGTCTTACAGCGCTCATTCGATATACTGGTCCAAATTTTCTCCATGATTCTTGCAACTCCAGCGCATCTGCCCAAATGGATATTCTATATGTGAGCACCGATGTGACAACTGATAATAGTAGTAGTCTCCTGCTCTGCTTTGGGCCTCCGACGTTCGGCATCAATCGTGCGAGGCTAGTTCTTACTACTGATGCTTTGGCACTGACGTGTTCTACCTGCTGCTTGAAGTTGAGTCGGGCATCAAGCATCACTCCCAAATATCGGATATAAGGTTGTGATGTGATTTCTTGGTCTCCGACTTTCAGGTTGATTGTTTCTACCACTTTTCTGCTGGATATAAGCACTGCCTCAGTTTTGTGTGTGGCCAGATGCAGGTTTACCGTATTCATCCACCGATAGACTCGCTCGAAGGTGATGTCGAACATGTTGTTAATCTCGTCAAGGTGTTTAGCGACGATTACTACGGCTACGTCGTCTGCATACGCTACGAGTTTTACACTTCTTGGCAATTTCAATCTCAATAGGCCATCGTACATGATATTCCACAGCAGTGGAACAAGTACAGAACCCTGGGGTACACCTCCGGTAATATCTTACTCTTTTGGACCATTCTTTGTGTCGTATTTAAGAACTCTATCGGTGAAGTAGCTGGCCACTATTCTACACAGGTATTCTGGAACGTTTTTCTCTCGAAGAGCTTGCATGATACAGTTCCAGTTGGCCGAATTGAAGGCGTTTTTTATGTCTAATGCCGCCACCAGGCAATACTTCTTTGTGCCACCCTTCCATCTGGTTCCTGCCATCGCTTCTTTAGCCGTGCTAACAACCAGATTGATCGCGTCCAGGGTTGATCGTCCTTTCCGGAATCCATACTGGTTGTCTGCCAGGAGTGGGTCGACTACTGCATCTAGTCGTTGTTGAACTATGCGCTCAAATATCTTATCTGCCGTATCTAGCATGCAAAGTGGTCGGTAAGATGACGGTTCTTCTGGTGGCTTCTTCCCTTTAGGTAACAGTACCAATCGTTGCTGTTTCCACTTACGAGGAAAAGTCCCCTCCTTGAGGCATGCATTATAAACGTCTAGGAATAATGTTGGAGCTGCCTTTAAGATGGTTTTCAAGGCTATATTAGGGATTCCGTCCAATCCCGGCACTTTATTATTCCCTACACGGTTATAGGTCTCCAGCAGTTCGTCTTCAGTGACAGGTGGAATGTCGTCCAGTTCGCCCGGCGCCATCTGGTAATCGAGCTGTGGGAGCAGTGCAGTGACGATTTTCTGACGAAGTTGAGGACACGTAGGTGATGGCATTTGTTGTTTTTTCAGGTGGGACATAACCACCTTATAAGGCCTACCCCACATATCTTTATCCACCTCGTATATAAGCTCTTTCCAGCATCTTCTTTTGCTCTCTTTGATGGCTTTATTCAGTTCACGACGCGCCTTTTTGTACTCTGCGATCAGCTCCACTGAATTGGGCCGTTGATAGTCGCGCTGGGAGATTCTTCTTTTCTTATAACACTCTTTACGGAGGACGCTGATGTGGTGTGTGTGTGTGTGTGTGTGTGTGTGTGTGTGTGTGTGTGTGAAATTTCAAAAATAAAATTTTCAAAAAATGGTTTTTTTGGAGTAACTTTTAAACGGCTTCATCGATCAATTCCAAAAACTAATCCGCTCTTGATCTTGAAAAACCACGTCGATTGTCACCAGTCTCGTCGAAATTGGTTTATTAGTTCAGGAGTTATCGAAGACGAAAATTTTCGAAAAAAGTGTTTTTTTTTTTACAAAACTTCGACATTTCTTTTTTGATTGTTTTTGATCGAAGAGAACAATTATTGATGCCCAAAAAAATTGCGTCGATCTCTGCCAAGAACGTGAATATTAGTTGATTGGTTCGTGAGTTATCGTTATCGAAAAAATTCGAAAAAAGTGAATTTTTCAAATTTCTCTAAAATTTTCGGTTTAATCAGTTTGTGTTCAAAAGTATATCATAGAATTTGAAAAACTGCGTGGAATGCTGCCAGCCGCGTGAAAATCGATTCATTCATTCAGAAGTTATTGCGGTTTGAAAATTCAAAAAATACTGTTTTATTAAACTTCTATCAGACTTTTGAGCTTGACGAGCTCAAATCTTAGAACAGATATCTCTTTAAGCTCGGAGAGCTCGAAAAAACAGAAATTATATTTTTGAGCTCGAAGAGCTCAAAAACGACATAAGTCCAATTTTAAGCGCTTAGATATGGAATTAGCGGGAAGTTGCAGGGATGGCCTTTAGGGTCAACCGTTTTCCAGATTTTTTTCATTTGAAAGTTCAAAAATTTACAATTTAAAAAATTTTCTAATTACAATGTTCTCAATTTTTAACTTCCCGCTAAAAATCTCAGATTTTCAAAAATCGGGAAGTTATTGTTTTCACCCCGTTTTGCAAAAATCGAGTTTTCATCAGATCTCGACGTTTAAAGGTCATAGGAAGCTTCCCTGACTACCCCCGCGATTTGATCGCGGTTGGCGCCATTCGAAAGGGCTTGACCAAACTTAGATTTTGTATATACTTTGGAATGATTCAGACCGGTAGATTTTGAGAAATCGCAAAAAAACTATAAAAAAAATTTTTTTCAAAAGTGGTTTTTTTGGAATATCTTTTAAACGGCTTTACCGATCAATTTCAAAAACTAATCAGCTCTTAACATCAAAAAACCACGTCGATCGCCGCCAGTCCGGTTCAAATCGGTTAATTCGTTCGTGAGTTATCGTTGAAAAAAGAAAACCGAAAAAAACGTTTTTTCGGAATTACTTCGAATTTTTCCACTCTGTCGATATAAACTCAAAGATTTTTTATGAAGCTTAAAAAACTGCGTCGAATGCCGCCAACCGCGTGAAAATCGGTTCATTCATTCAAAAGTTATTGCGATTTGAAAATTAAAAAAATAGTGTTTTATCAAACTTCTATCAAACTTTTGAGCTCAAAAGCATACAAAAGCTAGTTTTTGAGCTCGGAGAGCTCAAAATAATACACAAATTGTATTTATGAGCTCGAAGAGCTCTAAAACGTCATAAGTGCAATTTCAAGCGTTTAAGTATAGAATTGGCGGGAAGTTGCAGGGATGGCCTTCAGGGTCAACCGTATTCCTAATTTTTTTTTTCTAATTTGTTCTATTTTTATCGCTCTTTAAGAAAAAAATATTTCAATAACCGGAAAAAATAGCATCGTCACCACTTCATTGGAAAACACCTAAAATCGTTAATTATACACATTCAGTAGTTCAGGCGCTCCGTCAACGAAGATTTGAACGTAACTTGGCACCAGATTTTACCGAATCTGTGGATCAGCCGTTTCTATATAAACTTGAAAAGTTTATAAACTTGAAAATTTCCGACATAAGCCGACCTAAACTTGGAAATTCGTTATATCAGCCAATTCATGAAATAAGTTTATTTATCAAAATCGAAAAATTCAGTTGTTGATGACATAATTTTTTAGAATATTTAATATATGTGATGGATTTATGAATTCTTCATGAACGATTGAAAAATTTTTATATTGCTAATTTTCCAAACTTTTTTTTTAATTAATTTTTTTATTTTTCTTTCATTTAATGAAAATTTAATTAATATTTATTTATATTTCAGCATACTCTAACTGATGTAGAAGAAAGCTCAAGCATTGATTTTGGGGATACGGATGATTATTTATCTAGTTTAAATAACTCGAGTAATGTTAATGACAACATAGAGTTCGATTTTAATACTGATGATTCAGTGTTTATAAGCAACAAAAGTGGAAATATAGATGAAGAAATCTCATTAGAAGAATCCGGTATTGTTGTTGAATCAATAAGCCTTAAGAATGGCATTGCTACTGGTAATGAAGCTTTGCGGATACTAGATAATTCAAAAACACGAGATGAATTTATCGATCAACTTTTAGAGGTTAGTGAACTGATTAATTTCATTACAATTTTGATGATCAATAAAAATTCTGTCTGTAAGAAAATGTATGTAAGCTAAAAGCCCTAATAGATGATCATGTATAAGTTTATGATCACTCCGTGTATTTGTATATCTATATTTGTGAATATAGATATATAAATACATGGAGTGATCATATACTGGTACATGAGCATCTATTGGGGCTTTTACCTTACTTAAAATAATATACTATTTTATATTATTTTAGTTAGAAGCATTTTTGAAACTACGTTTGTATGAACTTAAAAATGAACGTCAAGGTCATCCTAATATGAGTCAAATTCAAGAATCTTCTACTATTCTACAACTTTCTTCATTAGATAGTATTCAAAACATGTTAGACAATGTACAAATTGTTTTGTCAGCTATCCTAGACAATCAAGTTCAACATTTACATCGAATAAAGCATTCTCACAGGTAAATCATACATTTATTAGTATCTCATCTTCTCTCTCTCTCTTTTTCTCTCTCTCTCTGTAAGTACATATGTGTATCGTATTTTTCGCTTCGTCTTAAGAGATTATCTCTGCTGTATTTTGCCTCCGGGCATTTTTTGTTTCAGAATTATTGCAAGCGCTAAATTGCAATCTACAAGCTGATATATAAATTTTATTTATTTGTGCCTTGTGGATTGCTGAATAATTAAATAAAAACCTTCCAACATTGAAGAGGTTAGGTTCTCAGTGTTATTGTGAATTTGTTGATGTATAGCATAGATGACAACAACTGATGTCTTAACACGACTAAAGTTTACCGAGTAGCGTCAATCTGCTTACTACTTGGTTGGTAACTTATCATCATTATAACATCAAACAGCATCGATCTGTTGTCGTCGGTAAATCGATCAAAGACATATAGTGTGTGTGCATAAGATAGTATTGTTGTTAAATCTCTGAAGACGTTTTAGTTGACATCACTTGATTATTATTCTTTTCACCATAACCAAACTAACTAAAGTGTTAAATCTGATCTTCTTGTGGTATGCCATTATCTTCGGATTTATGTGCGAAGTGCAAAAAGGCAGTAAAAACCCCTAGTACTTGCGATAAGTGTGGACAGAACTTTCATCCAGGTTGTGCGCGGGATTTTATAAAAAATAAACCGCAATCGGATTGCTGTCGAAGAAAATTTTTTCATCTGTTGGAAAATTTAGACGGTAAATCATTACCAACTAACAGAAGACTAAACTCTTTGAAGTCTACCAGCTCAAACACTTCCTCTGTTTCAAGCTTCAAATCCGCGAGATCTTCTACATCTGAGCGTGTGTATACAGGTCGATTATCGATCTCATCACTGAAGTCTCTAACGACTCCAATCTCACCGCTATCACCTACCTCTGACTCAGCATTTTCATCACCTCCAGAAATGGCGCAGTTACCGGCAGATTGGTCCAAGAAATCGCTTGATGAAAAAATGACACTAATGATGGAGAAATTTTGTCTTTCGGAAATTTCAACGAATCAGAAACTTGAGGACTTGAGTGTGAAATTGCGTGTAGTTCAAGATTCACAAGAAGCTGCTGCTGCCACCTTGGCTGAACTAACTCAAAATGTGAAAACCAATGCTACAATTTCTCAGATTAACTTAGATCTTTTAAATGTGAAGGAAACTAGGAAAGCTGATATGGATACAATCTATAAAAGACTATCTAACCTGGAAAACTCAGTTCCTGTCCCACGTACTTCTTCACAAATTCCAGGTACCACTGCTGAATTAGTTATTTCAGGTGTTCCTGACTCAGTGGCGCAAAGCTTAACTCCAAGTGATGTTACAGCTGCTGTTTTAAATAGTCTGGATTTGCCAAATTTAATTAACAGTGTCTTGAGCTCGCGCAAGTTTGAAAACAAAAACAGGCAAGCTCAAAACCAAAACAAATCTATTGTTCACTCCTACATAGTCTCTTTGATATCAACCCCAGCTCGTGACTTTATCATCGACGAGAAACGTAAGTCAAGAAGTCTTCTAGCGAAAAAAGTTTTTCCCACTCAGGTTGATGCTGCGTTCAAGGGATCCATCTATGTCAATGAATTTCTGCTTCCTGAGACTTACTGATTGTTTCTCAAAACTAAGGAAAAGGCAAAGAATAAGAGATTCAAGTTTGCTTGGTATAGAGGTGGACAAATTTTTGTAAAAAAGAATGAAAATTCTGAAAGATTGGTGATAAACTGCGAGACTGATCTTTCTAAGCTTGATTAATGTTTAACAGATTCTACTAATACTCCTGCTATTATCATTTCATCGCCATTAAATGTATTAAGTTTAAATATAAATAGTGTTAACGGTCACATTGCTCAATTTCTTGATCTAGTTGACAATACAAAACCTGACATTATTATTCTCGTGGAAACCTGGTTAAAACCTACACTAGATGATGGAGTTTTATCACTAAACGATTATACTGTAATCCGCAGGGATCGAACTCTGAAACATATTGATACTGATCGTTATATTCAAGGTGGTGGAGCTTGTCTGACTCATAAAACTCTAAAAACTAAAGTTTTACATATTTCAACTTCTGATCATATAAATCAACCGGAATTCCTCATTGGCGACGTAACTTTACTCACAGGAGCTCACCTTCTGCTATCTTGCGTCTACCGTAGGCCAAAAGGACTTTTATTAAATGAGTTCTTCGATACTCATTCTAGATTTGCACCAAATTACAGCAACATTATTATAGCTGGAGATTTAAACTGCAATTTATTGTAAAATAGTTATACTTCGAACCATCTTAAGAATTTCATAGTAGAATCGTCACTTTATTGTATTCCCTATGGTGCTACTTTTCACAAAAACAACTGTGATTCTTGGCTGGATGTCATTCTACTAGATAATGAATGTAAGTTATCATCGTTTGTAAAATCAAAATTTCCATTTATCGATGGTCACGATTACTTACTCTGCCAATACAAACTGGAAAACGTAAAACCACTGCCGAAGAGATTAACCTACAGAAACTTTAAAAACTGTGATCATCAGGCTCTTTCAATTTCGCTTATGAACGCTTTGAAAATTGACTACATTGTGCTTGAAAATTCGAATCCTGATGAACTATTGAATATTTTTAAAACTGAGGTTTTGGCTTCTCTGGACGTGTTTGCACCTCTACATACAAGAAAGGTTTCAAGAGTGAATAATCCTTGGTTTACCAAAGAATTAAAAATGAAGTGCCAGGAGCGCGATAGAATCTACAAAAAAGCAAAGAGGGGAAAAGATCCAAACTTGCTTGCTCTTTTCAAATTGAGAAGAAAAGAGCTTAAAACTCAGTTGAACTATGCTCGTGAAGAATATCTGAAAGCTGCTCTCTCAAGTTTGCCTTATGGTCCAACTGTTTGGAGCAAACTCAAGCATCTCGGTTTAATTAAATCAAATTCTTCGTCGCCACTAAATTTCTTTGACGCCTGGGATCTAAATGAATATTATGCTAATATAGTTAGGAAGCATCCACCATGTCACACTAACTTCGTTGACCTCTTACCAATAAAATATTCAAAGAACGTTGACTGCTCATTCCACTGGACCAAGATCGATATTGTTGATGTCACTAAAGCATTGCACCTTACACTCCCCAAATCTAAAGGGAAAAGTCCTGACGGTCTTGATCTGAGATGGCTGAGAGATCATATCCCGCAAATTTCACTCTTTCTCACATACTTATTTAATAGATCTCTCGATTCTGGCATCTTTCCTGATATTTGGAAGATTATTTATATAATTCCTCTAAATAAAATAGCATCACCCAGATCTCCGTCAGATACCCGTCCAATCGCAAATTTATCTCATCTAGCTAAAGTCTTTGAAAGAATTATTGCTAATCAGATTACGTCATATTTGGAAGACAATGAGCTATTTGATCCTTTTCAATCTGGGTTCAGGAAACATCACAGTACCCAGTCTGCATTGTTAAGACTCACCGATGATATAAGGGAAGCTATGGACAAGAATAAATTAACTATAATGGTTCTATTTGATCTGAGTAAAGCTTTTGATTATGTTAATCCTAAAGATATTCTAGCTGCGCTTTTTGAACTTGGATTTTCATTACAAACTATAATTTGGTTTTGCTCATATCTATCGGATGGATCTCAGTCAATACTAAACGATCTTGGGATTCCAATTCAACTCCTCAAGACGTCCTCTGGTGTTCCTCAAGGTTCTGTTCTTGGTCCGATCCTGTTCCTAATAGTCATGAACTCTATGGCTCGACGACTAATATACACTAGACATGGATTGTTTGCTGATGATGAATACATACTTTTGCACTTCTTTCTGTACCAGATGAACGAGGCTGTATGGCAAGTAAATATTGATGCGCAGTCTGTTGCAAACTGGGCTAAAGAGCATGGATTGGAGATAAACCTGTCCAAAACCAAAGCCATGATTCTGGGGTCGGATAGAAATTTGAAAAAGCTTGAGGACATGGTTCTACCTCCAGTAGTTATAAATGGTGTCATAATACCCTATGTTAATTCAACCAAGTGCTTGGGACTCAACATAAGTAGAAATTTATCTTGGAATTATCACGTCACACAAGTTATCAGCAAGGTAAATTCAGCTTTGCACTGCCTTAAGGTTCGAAAAAACATCTTCCCAACTCCTATAAGGAAATTGTTAGTCTCAGCCACCATTTTACCGCTTATTGATTATTGCACTGTTGTTATGATAGATTCAACATCTGACAACAACCTAAAACTCCAACGTGCAATAAACTGTTCCATAAGATTTATCTTCAATCTTAAGAAAGATAAGCATATCACACCTTATCGTCGAGAGCTGGGATGGCTTTCTGTGAAGTATCGTCGAATGTACTATTTGAGTTGCTATTTTTACAAATTACTCCAAATTGGTAAACCCAAGTATTTATGAGGTCACTTCTTAGAAGACACTGATGTTAGACGCTCAAATAGGTTAGCAGCGAAAAAACACTCTTTTCAAATTACCTCACTTTGCTACTACTTATATGGAGCACTCATTTTTGGTGTCCACGATCCGTATGTGGGATGAATTACCTGGCGAAATCGTGAACTCAAGCAGTAGTGAAGTGTTTAAGAATAAAGTGTTTGAATATTTATTAAACCTGGACAATTAAAGTTTAAAATTAAAAATTGATTACTAGAGACTTTGTAGGACCACTAGTTAAAAGCTTAAGATAGAGTTAATATTATGGAATTATTAGTTGAATCTGTTGGAATTTTATATTTTGTATTTTATATTTTATATTTTGTATTCTATATACCAAATTTTTATTAGACTAAGTTTTGTACTTACATTTATTCATCTATTGTTCTATTTTATGTAAAAATTCCTTTTTTTGTTTAATATTGCCATTTGGCCTGTACCTTGGCATAAATAAATTATCAATCAATCAATCAATCTCTCTCTTAGTACTTATAGTTTAAATATAAATAGCCTTGTTGGTCATACAGCTCAATTCTTAAATTTGATTAATGATACGAAACCTGACATTATTGACCATTTATTAAATTTGGATAATTGAAAAATCTCTTGATGACCTTTAATGCTCTCAGTTATTGTGAAATTTATCTTAATATTTCTCTTTATTTGAAATTTTATTTGAAATTTAGGGTTATTTGTTGAATCGGATAAGATTTAAAATTTGTTTAATATCGCTAAATTATTTAGTAAAATGTTGAGAATTAATTTTAGTTTATGTACTTGCAATATTAACATTAAATATGTAAAAAATTATGTACGTATTAAAATTGAATATTGCCATTTGGCTTGTGCCTTGGCATGAATAAATTATCAATCAATCAATCAATCAATCTCTCTCTTAGTACTTATAGTTTAAATATAAATAGCCTTGTTGGTCATACAGCTCAATTCTTAAATTTGATTAATGATACGAAACCTGACATTATTGACCATTTATTAAATTTGGATAATTGAAAAATCTCTTGATGACCTTTAATGCTCTCAGTTATTGTGAAATTTATCTTAATATTTCTCTTTATTTGAAATTTTATTTGAAATTTAGGGTTATTTGTTGAATCGGATAAGATTTAAAATTTGTTTAATATCGCTAAATTATTTAGTAAAATGTTGAGAATTAATTTTAGTTTATGTACTTGCAATATTAACATTAAATATGTAAAAAATTATGTACGTATTAAAATTGAATATTGCCATTTGGCTTGTGCCTTGGCATGAATAAATTATCAATCAATCAATCAATCAATCTCTCTCTCTCTCTCTCTCTCTCTCTCTCTCTGCCCCCCCCCCCCCCCCTATATATATATATATATATATATATATATATATAAATACATACATACATAAACTTTTGAACCATATGCATTTTCTGAATTCGCTTGATGAGCTGAGTCGAAATAAAGCAAAATTTTTCAAAAGTTCCGTCATGAGGACCAATGCAATAGTTAGATTTCTATGAAATCTACTAAAAATCAGTAAAGTGATATGAAATTAGAATTTACAATACTCTTGATATGTCTCTTAAAGTATTAACACAAGTCTCACATCATAACATTAGAAAACAAATTTGTTAATGAAAAATTGAGGGGTGTACAAAAAAAAGTTTTCACGCGTATTTTCAACAATTCTCAATATTTTGATATTGGAACAAGATTAATAACTGAAACTTTGATCTAATCAATAAATTACTATTTTGAAGAAGTTGAAAAAAGAATAATAATAATTTTTAGTTTTTTTAATAGTTTTTTATTGAGTGTCACAATTGCTCCTTGTTACAATTGCAGCACCTCTCCCCTACAGTTGAAAAAGTATAAGAGTGTATAAAAAATTTTTATTTTGAAGATGGATGTATTTGTAATCTAAGAGTGTAAATTTAACGAAAAAAATGTAAATTTTTTTCCAACTAAATTTAAACATCTAAATCATAATGGCATAGAAATCTGGAAAACAATTTTTTTTCCTACGTTTTTCTACGTTTTGAAATTTTTTTCCTATCAACTTTTAGTAAAAAATTTAAGAAACCAATTCTGTTGAGAATTTAATTTTCTATGAGATTGTAGAAAGAAAAGTTGAAAAAAAAGTTTTTATTCTTTTATTGTACTTTAATTTACATGCGAAAAGAGGCCTCCTCACGCGTCAGCTGAGTTATTGAGATATCGAGCTGAAATTTTTGGTGAATTATTTGTTTGTATCTAAGAAACTTTCGAGATACATTTATTAGTTCCTGTAAAATGCTGAAAGAGCGGAAAAGCGGGGATCAGGTTTAGATCTGGATATCTCAATTAAAATACGTAAATTATTATCAAAATTAACACTAGGAATTTATTTACTATAAATACACTCAATATTTTATATGTTCAATAGCAGATTGTTTTAAATAAAAGCGGATTTATAAAGCACAGCGTGGTTAGCAAAAGCGAAGCCGGTTGACACGTGGTTGAACACTCTGCCGGCGCTGTAAAAGCGGTGAATTACTGCACAAATAACACAAATTATCTGTAACAAACTCAAAATAAATTAAGCACAATTTATTAAAGCGGATTAGTAATCAATTAAGCGAAAATGCGGAATTTTAGAACTCAAGCGAATTAATTTAGCGGGATAGCGAAGCGTTAGACTCAATGGTGGTGCAGCGAAAGATAATGATAATAATTCGTCTTCTTCCTCGTTGACTTGGGGAAGAAGGCTATTGCGCATGTCTAGCGAGAGCGATCAGCCAATCAAGTGGTCGATCCATGGCGTGATCATCCGAGCCAAGCTTTGCGCAGGCGGTTAGTTTTTGCGGGAACTAACGGTTGCAGATGCGGCTCTTGAAATTGGGAGTCCCCCAGGAGCGACTTAATCGCTACTGGGCCTTGTTCACCGAACAGTTCCCAAAAAAAAAAATTCGTTTTTCTCTCACAATCTCTATCTCTAAAAATTAAATTAAATTCTATTGTTACTTTTCTGTTTTTTCAAGGTATCTTGATGTATTATCTGAAATGATAGAGCAAAAACGTGGAATGATGGAAAAAATGATCGCGATTCAACAAAAAAATGTAGAAAAACAAAACGAAGTTACAAGGGAGATAAATGATTTACAACCTCTTCTTAACATTGTTATACAACGCACAAAAGAATTGCGAACTGACGTAAGTAATAAATAACACTTGATTATAAAATTACTTATATTTTATTTCAATCTTTATTATTGTTTGTTTATTTTTAGATTGAAAGAGATATTTCAAAGAAGTATCAATCACGGCCTGTACAGTTGACTGGAATAATAAACCATATATAATTGTTTTCTTCACAGAATGTATATGTATAAAGTTTAATAATAAAAATTCGGGAAGCACCACAGATTATAAAGATTGAATTTTCAAAAAACTGGGAAGTTATTGTTTTCATCGCAATTTTTAAAAATCGAGTTTTCACCAGATCTCGACGTTTCGAGGTCCTAAAAAGCTATTCTGGCTGATTTGATGATTGATTTTTTCGAGTGATATCTAATTTAAAGAAAATCAAAAAAACATAGTTTTTCAATTAAAATTTTTAATTATTCATCAGAACGGATGTCTTTCTGAAAATTTTGGTAAAGCTTTCTTAATAACGGTAAATGCTACCAAGCGTTCTAAAATCGGATGATTTGTCCGAAAATTATCGTAGCTTCCCGAGTCAAAATTAAAAAACTAATTTCAGCCTCCAAATTCTACTCGAGGGTAAGGAGGCTGAAATCAGTTTTTTAGATTAACCCGAGCTGTACAGCGAAACCTTAATTTCACCCTAAACTTGGTATTTTTGTCCGCTTTTAAGAAGTTTAGGTTGAAATTAGTATTACAGAACCCTCCCTGGCGGTTTCGGCGGCACGGTGAAAGCACGGTCGCTTGACGGTTGTTTCACGGTCGTTTCACCGTATAAAGTTCGTTCTTACCGAGCGATCTATCAGTCAGCATCGGATATCGTTGTGGACGATGTCTACTATCAATTTATTGAATATTTACGGTGCATATGCAAGTAAATCTACGATGTTATGACTGACACCGTACGCTCAATATACTGTCGAAATACGGTGATTTTACGCTACTGTCACGGACAATAAAATAAAAAAATACTTCGCACAGTCTAGATCGGGACTTGAATCCGGTTCATCTGGTCGCGCGCCCGAAACTTTACCAGTTAGGCTATCTGAGACGCTGCACGAAATGTTAGATTCAGTGACATGATAAAGTGTCAAAACCAAGTCATTTTTTTCATTGTACAGATAAAAATAGCTTAAATAAAGTTATATTTTTTCCATGACTTCGAAATAATCGTAATAAATGATTCAAATTTTTGATGATTTTGAAATTCTTGATTTCGAAATTATGGTGGAATTATTAACTGTATAAAAAAAGATCTGGAAAAGAAATTGCTAAAAATTAAACTGTCAAAAAAAAATATCTCATAATAATTTTTCTTGATAACAAACAATTTTTCCGTAATTTCGAAATTAGAGTTTTCGTCTCTAAAAAAAAAAAACTCAAATCTTCAACAATGTATTCGAATTTTGGAATTACGGTGAAAATATTTGACGTGCAGAGAATATGTTTATAGTTAAGTTGAAATAAAATTATAATTTATTAATTAATTCTTGAATAAAATATCTCCCGATTAAAAAAAAAAAAAAACAATATTGATTATTATATTGCATGCCTTAAGCGCGAAGCGCGCAGGTATGCTCTACTCTCGCCTAAAAATCGTGATTTCGATTAAGGGGTTATACGCAGTTGCGAGGCTCAAAAATAACGTTTTTTTTTCGATTTTTTTGTGGACACAGCTTTTATTTATTAAGTACAAGTGATGGTAATTCTGAAAGAGCATACTTTGAAGAATATAATTGTGTATTACTCGTGTCAAAATATTGATGTGCACCGCCTCTGCAGATGATGTCCCGAACGACCTCCAAAAAAAGGCGCTCGGCGGTGAGCACGATTTCTTCGGTTTGGATTATCTGAAATAAAAAAAAAAGGTGAATTCTTTTAAAAGATAGATAAATGCAGGTATTGGACGAAGGAATAAAAAATATTTTGATTTTTGACAAAATGGCGGCTATTTGTAAAAAATTTTTCGTTTTTGTTAAAAAAAAATTTTCCAAATTGTTTAAAAAAAAATTAGAAAAACGGTTCACCCTAAAGGCCATCCCTGCAACTTCCCGCTCATTTTGTACTTAAACGCTTCAAACTACACATTACGTTTTTGAGCTCTTCGAGCTCAAAAATATTATTTTTGCGTCAATTTGAGCTCTTCGAGCTCAAAACTCTAATAGCAGTTTAAAGACACAATATTTTAAATTTTTAAACGGCAATAACTTTTGAATGAATGAACCGATTTTCAAGTGGTTGGCGGCAATCGACGCAGTTTCTGAACCTCCATTAAAAATTTTCAAGTTTAAATCGATCAAGCCATGAATTTCGAAGTTATTACAAAAAAACACTTTATTCGATTTTTTTCGACAACGATTTCTCACGAACGTATCAACCGATTCTAACGTTTTTGGTAGCGATCGATGGGGGTTTTCAAGGTTAAGAGCTAAATAGTTTTTGAGACCGATCGGTTCAGCCAATCCAGAGATATTTAAAAAAAATAAAAAAAAAACAACTTTTTTTTTCACTTTTTTTCCACTTTTTTTGCATTTTTTCGAAATCTACCGGTCCGAATCGGTTCAAATTTTCAGAAAATCTAAGTTTAGTGAAGCCCTTTCGAATGACACAAACCGCGATGAAATCGGTCAAGTCGTTCAAAAGTT